ATTACATTGTCTTGATGCCGTCTGATTTATTATTATTATCCCACACCAAGTATTTTAGTAATATATGTATATTTGTATATAGAAGAGTGTTTTACATGAGGGGAGGTACGACATTATTCCTTTTACATTATGTATGTTAAATAAAGCCCATCAAAGCGCTGATTCATGCAAAATCTCCTTTGTGGCAACGACCATCCATTACCGGCAGACTGTGCCAGCAAATAATAGAATACATGAATAATGACACTCGCTCCACACCCCGAGGGCCTGGTTCCTCTGTGACATCTGAAAGGCACGCATGTTGTCCAAACAGAGGAGTTTTTAAAATGACTGCAGACAGCTCATTTTTAGACGCAATTCTCTTCATCTTTACGACTCGCTGTCTGCTTCTTCCTCCTCTGTATTTATTGTTTGGGTGCCAGTAAAAAAACACTAAGTGACTGCTGAGTGAGTGTTCAAGATCAAAGTGTTAATGAGGTAATTAAGGTAAATAGCTCTTGAATGAATTCATAATTTATGAAGCTGTAATCAAAGGGCAAAGTATCACGGAGAAGTAATCAAACCCAGCGGCCCCGCCTAATGTCAGCCCAACACATGCTAATGAGAGAAAGATAAAAGCAGCGATACGCCGCAAAGATTACATCCCACTCAGTGTCCGTCTCAGTGTGTTGGTTTGTGATGCAGTGCAGGAGCTGAATGGTTCCTATGCTGTTTGTTCTGTCTGTTATTTCCTCATTAGCACCCTGGATGACCAATGGGCTGTGTGTAACTAAGTGTTCTTCACCTCTAAAGAGTATTGAAATGACTTGAAGGGATTTCACGGAACTCTGATACCATCATGACTGTGATAAGAAATGTGTGAGTCCTCTCCAAAGGATCTTTATCGCTGCCTGCAGTGCAGTTGTGTGATTGCTCAATCAGATAGGGCTGCCTTTACAACCATACAGACCAACACATTGCATAACAAACACTGCTTCCATGCACTGCAGCATGTCGACTAATAGTAGAGGCAGAATGAAAAGGCTTTCTGACCACCCTCCTCCTGCGCTGACTTGGTGTGTCATGTCTGAAAGCAGCAGCTGCGTTCTTGCGGGGTCTAAAGTCTGATGTGGTAGATATGGACAGACAAATCAAACGCTGTATTGAGGTTCTGAGATAAGGCCGTCAGGAGGAGGTGATGGTGGAGAGGTGAGAGGGCCAGACTTTGGACCCTCTTCACTCACTCCTCTTCTTCGCCTTCGCTGCAGCGCCTCGGTTTGTCTCTCTTCTCTTGTGGAAAAAAAAAATAAAAAATGAAGATTGATTTTGCGCCCTTGGACGTGCCCATCCACAGGAGGCTGCAGACTGGCGCCGTGCTGCTGTGGGTCTTCTCCTTCCTCGGTCTGGGTGAGTGTTGACGTTAGTGTGTGAGTCAAATGGAAACTACCTGAACGTTACGGTGTATTAATGGGATGTCGTTAGGTACAACTTCGGTGTAGTTTGTCTGTATTTCTTTGCAGCAGGTGTTGAAATATGTTCAGCTGGTTTAAGTATAAATTAATCAGAATTATTCCATCAAGTGACCTGAACTGCTGTATGACCACAAGAGGGAGCCAAGCAGAGCCAGATCAGAGAACATCTGCACTCAGGGAGGTGACAAACTAAAGGAGAAACCAACATAAAGTGTCTCAGTAACCAACCAGAACAGCTTTACTGTACCTTGGTATTAACTCGCCAAGTCTCTGGAGGAATGAACACCATCCTTCCAAAAGATATTCCTCCATTTTAACCATGTTGGCAGGGAGCTCTGTCTAACTATTAGGTCCAGAATCTCCCTCAGGATCCATGTGGGTTGAGGTCTGGTGATCGTGAGGGTCATGTCATGTGATTCACATCATTTTCATGCAACCACTCAGTGACCCCTTTGGATGGGGGGGATCCTGGAAGAGACCACTCCCACCAGGAGGCAATCACTGGGAACAACTTTGTATTGATTTGCAGTAAAGCTTTCTCTCTGAGGGGACCGAAGAATGGCAGCAGAACCCCCCAACGGCATCCCAGAACCACCAGATCCACCCACTGTAGGGGTTCAAGTGTTTCCTTTAATTTGTCACCTGTCTGGAGGAGTCAAATGATTTTCTACATCTAGTATCCAACTGTCTGCACTCACTTTAAATGGTATTTAACTATAACAACTATAGGACTCTTTCCAGTAGGTTTAGTCGTTTACATATTTGCAAATAACTTTTCACAAACTCAGTTGCGGCTGATCCGGGTCGGTGGGAGGCGTGTCCTGTTTGGTCGGCCCCATCTTTAGCTGGTGGTTTATCGACTACCACGACAATAAACATACTAGAGATGAGCACCACACTTACATGGTGTCATTTTTAGCCTTTATTTTACCCAGAATGGCTCAATAAAATCAAAAATCATGCTTTTAATTCCCTAGGCTCAGCAGTAACACAATAAAAAAAAAGTAAATCAATCCTACAACAGGACAGTTTTCATGCTTTAACAGACATGCAGATAATTTGGGTCACTACCAGATCAGAGCGACTGCAGTGTTTCTGATATGAAGTTTGGCACCTGAACGCTGAAATGAGCTAAAAATGAAAACAGTTATATCATCATGAGATCGGACTCTGCGATGACGTAATCTCCACCAGAACCAAATGCTTTTCATGCATACGCTCCCGCTATTCATGAAACGCTAATTCCACTTAAACCCATGATCTTCCATACCAGCCATTCATAAAGTGTGGTTTGCATTCGTTATGCAAGACCAGAGTGGATGATTGTGTAATGCATGTGCTCACAACAAGCCTTCTTTCTGTCCTCAGCACCCACCTGCATCTTCCTGTTCTTCTACCTGCTCTTCACTCGCTACTGGCTGATCAGCGTGCTGTACGCCGTCTGGTGGTACTACGACTATGACACTCCTGCACGCGGAGGCCGCAGGGTGCCCTTCCTGTGCGACCTCAAAATTTGGAAGCACATGCGGGATTATTTCCCCATAAAGGTGAGCGAGTGGTGCTGCTGTGAGTCCACATAGGTGGGATTTAGTGGTGCAAGTCAGAGAACGGGGCATCAGAACATCAGGTCGTTTGATCTAATCTGTGATCTCCAGCCTCCCATGAGCGATAGCCCTTATCTCTGTCCTTGGCAGCAGAGGGACCGTTGATGGATAATACCCTTCTGTTATGCGCTGTACATGTACACAGACCCTCCTCAAATCCTGCAGTCAGCCTTCATGTGGTCTGTTAAACACAGTTCTGCAGCCATGTTTTGTATTTGCATGGAGCTATATGAAATAATTTCACAGCCAGCACTCCAACTGAATGGTCTGAGTTGATAAAAAAAAACAAATATTTCAAATAGAAATATAAGAAAAAAAAGATTAATAATAAATGCTGTAAGATTTTGATAGTAAAAACAAAGACAGAAACGATATTGATTAAAAAAAAACATTGATAACATTGATATTGTCTGTTAAATAGGAAGCTGCAGTCAGGAGACAGGTGACGTAGCATAGCATGAATCCTGAAGGCAAGGAAACAGCCGGTTCTGTTGTAAAAATAACTGATGAAAGTAAAGCAAGCAGAGCACAAATGCAATTTAACTTTTTTTTAAAACAATATTGATGCAAATGAAATACAAGCAAAGGAACTGGAGGGAAAAGGGGAAAACAAATAATCCTGTTAAGAGCGGAAAAACGAGTGACCACCATCATATGACTCAAGGCTCTGCAGCTTTTGCTAAGCATTGTGGGTCTTTTCTGAACTGGAGGTCAACTTTCCACTTTGCTAAAACACTTTTTTTTCCCCAGTTTGACGTATTCATTTTCAGCAGGCTCCAGTCCCCTTGGATCCCTGCTTTATGATCCCACTGAACTTTCTTTTATATAATTTCTGAGGCGGTTTAAATGAGACAGCTTCAAAACTCCCGTTGCACAAAATCACATCACACGTCTGTGGCACCCAGGTGACGTAGTTTATCAAACGTGTGCACCTTGACTAATGCATACTATGTCAGGTTGAACAGGTCTGTGCTTTGTGGAGGTTAAATATGTCTGATCTGGGTTCTGATGCCGTTTGTTTGGCCTTTCTGAGCGCTGTGTTTGTGTGTTTCAACTGGTTGCCTGGCAACCTCAGGATGGCGAGAAGACTCCAGGAAGTCACTGTTCATGGCAAAGTGAAGCCCCGTGTAATCACGCTTCTGCTGCTGTACATATCAAACAAATACGACTAAAGATTCACCTGCGTCTTTACACGTGCAGGTGTGTGAGTTTTTGACAGCGTCAGATGAGTTAATTGCAGCTAAACCCCTCGTTTCAGCTTCATGTTTAGCAATCAGATATGGACAATAAAAGCACAAAAGCATACTCCTCAAACTGCCTCAAAACCACAGAGATCTTTTTTTGCAAATTCCATCTGACCTCTCGCCAGATGTTGCTGCAGGCCAGAAATGTTTCAGCGTTCAGAGACATGACCTGTTGACAGTGTGTCCAGACTCTGAGTCATCCAGGTCGTGGTGATCCTACGTCCTCCAGTAGGAGGCAACTGGACCTCTTGTTGATTCATGAAGATATTTTACCCCTGGTCCTACAGATAGTTTCACCACCGTTCACAGCTGGAGTCATGCGGGTCTCGGATTGTTGATGAGCCTTGATTCATTTGATTTTCATGCTGCTGACGAGCCTCAAGTCATGTGAGTTGAGGCTGATTATAAATACCTGAAACTCTCCATCATCTAGTCACAACTGAGGAAACAAAAACCCCAAAATATCTGGTGGCCTTTTACTGGAACCCTCAGGCTAAACTGTTCAAACGCAGGAATCAGTGTTGGGGGACAATCAGTTTTAAAATAAATCCTATAAATTCTATAAATTTCTTAGAAAAACTTGACTTTTCTTAAAAAAAAAACGGGACCTGAGTACAAATTTCACAACATATGAACGTGAGCTGACGTGACAAGTAAAGTTCCTTGAATCCTTGAATCCTAAATCCAGTAAACATGTTGGCTAGAGGAAGCGTTCAATCGAATAGAGGAAGATAGAGATGAGTGAACATCAGTGACGTGCAGGTTTCTTGTGGAATCTGTCAGACTGGTTTTAAAATAAACTGCTAGCTTTCAGCAGTTTCAGGTAAATGGAGATAATCGACTGTCCCTGACCGGCCGAGCCCTGACTGTTCAGTACCAGCTCGTCTCCTGCAGCCCGCTGTGTCCCTCTGGTGGTCACGCATGAGTAGTGTGTCTGTATAAATGGGGGTAAATCTGAATGTTTTTGATAATCACTTGTACACTATTTTATACCAAATGTAAGCACTGTGTTCGATGTTCAGAAAGCTCGACAAACAAGTGGGCCAGTCCCTCCTCTGTGGGACTCACAGAGAACAGAACTCCTGTTGACAACATCCACCGCGCTGCAGGAATACATTACTCGCCTGAGGGCAGAACAGATACTTTGGACTGTACTGATAAGACAGGATGCAACGAAAACAATCAACAGCATTTTAGCTCTGCATTAGGGATCTGAACGAGCAGCTGCAAACCATTCAGTTTATTGATTAGATATGATTTATGATGGTTGATGAATGTTTCAAATGTTTATTCAATCAATTTATTGATTAAAAACAAAAGAAGGAATCCAAAACAAACAGAATGCAGTAAAATGAGTCGATGAATGAAGTCAGAATCTTTAAAGTAAAGTTGATCAGGACCAGTTTGTTACCTGTAAGTGGGACGTGGCTTTGTTGACATGAATTAGCCGATAACACACGAGTCCATACCGGCGTGTTCAGCTCAACTACCACTAATCAGATTTAGGTCAGCTGTATAGTTTTATTTATAGTCATTAGAATTCTCGTTTCACCAGATAGAACATTCACAAGATACGAGAATTGAATTGAACTGAGAGAAGTGATTATAAAAGCTGAAATATTTTCATCATCACCATCGTACTTTATTTACCTTTATAACCAAAATGAGAACAAGAGGGAACATCTGAACGCAGTAAAATCATAAATGTATAATAATGGGGAGAGCAAAAGAGAAAACAAGGCAAGATAAGGAAAGTACAGCATGAGCACCATAAAAGTAGCACCATAAAACCATAAAGGACAGGAGAAGAAGTAATGACACGAAAAATATCAGGAGCTATACATTCAGTGAAGTAATAAAAACTGTCACGCTTACAAAATCATTTTTATTAACATCTCATGAAAGATTTGGAAAATCAAAACAGAGCGTCACATTTTTACTAGTCTGGAAATTCCTGAGCTCTCATGTGAATCTACGTCCAGATAGAAGTTTGAACTTAATGATTTCTTGGGAAGCAAAAAATAAAAACAAACACCTTCTAAACTTCACAGAGGCGAATCATGTTCAGCAATCATCTGACTGTATGCCACGTTAGGCTCGAGACAAAGAGCCCATGTACGGGTGAAGAGCAGCAGTGTCCTTTAGAGAGCCTAATTAGTTTCATTGGTGTGTCTTTACCCACCGTCTCTAATCATGGCATCACCAGCTCAGGCTGGAGGTTCAGCTGACGAGTGCTGACTCGGTTTTTGAGGAGACACGCTTGCATTTGGACGGCACAGTGACGCAAATTGATATGTAACTGAAAGTGTGGGCGTTGGTTTTGTGTGAATATTTGGAAAAAGGGGGGACACTGAATAGGAATTAGTTTTAAGATTTACTTCATTTCCTTCATTCTGGGTGATTTTTATGCAACCAGTTTGTGAATGTGTTGCAGCTGCATCAATGACTGAAGGCACTAAAGCACATGTTAAACTAAGTTATCTGGCCTCTGGATCTTATCTAGAAAAACACATGTACTGTCATATACAACTGAGCTGATTGGCTGAATTATAGAGTTATAGAATTATACAAAAGGTCAAGTTAATTATACAAAAGGTCAAGTTAATTATGAGAATTTATATAAAAAGCATCATAGTTTTGTAGCTCTACTGAAAGACCCATAAGGTAGATATGTCACCTAGATTGATACCAACACATATGTAAATAACTAAGCTACAGCTATTAGCATCTGTGTTAGCTTAACGAGTTGAAAACAGCTAGCCAAAACAGTAGAACCCAAAGCAAAACCACAAATTCACATTATTCCATTCTGTAAGGATTAAACATGTTCATTGGTACAGATATGTGGATTTTCAACAGAACCTAGCTAGCTTAGTGTTGATGCTAAGCTACAGGAAGCTAACATTAGCCTAGCTCCTGCTTCATGTTGTACAGAATTAAAGCGAAGCTGCTGATAAAGTTGTGGTTGGAGAGGTTGCCATGTGATTGAAGTCGACCTTTAAATCAACATTTTTACAACCGTATTTATTTTTATGGTGAAAAAAAGCCTTCGAACAACATGACGTTTGGATTATATTTGAAATGCTAACATGTGTTAAACTTACCCAACAACATGTTTTATTAAAACAGGGACGAGGAAGCATCTATGTGAAGACCCACCTCTGATAAAAACCCATTTTTATATTGTTAACATGTCCTCATGGTGTTTTTATAGGCTAGAAGACATGGAGTTATACACGACCAAACCCAACGAACCAATCTGGTCACCATGCGTGGTGGAGCTTTTTGAATCATTCTTCAAATTCAGTTTCTGGGTTGAACATGAGGGACTGGCTGCATGACAGTGTGGAAAAGTCCACAGCAGCAGAGTCTTCAGGCATTTGGTGATTTCACAGTGGGACAGTCCTGAGCTCTCACACGTTCAGTAGAAACGAACCATTGAGGCAAGGCGCTCATTACCAAGCATACATGCATAAATGTGACGTCCACTGGACTTTCCTGGAAAATTCCAAATGCTTTACTAAGAAATCACTCCACATGCTGTTATAGAAACCAGCAGATAATAAGGGAAGGCCTTGTTTTTTTTAACTAATGTGATAAGATGCTATTAATTGCTTGTCATTATGACACAGCGTAGTTACTCTTAGCCCTCTTTGCTTTTTCCTTTGAAGGGATAGTTTGGTTTGGTTTTAGGGCCCATCAGCAGACAGGAGGACCAACACAGTCGTCTAAGTCATGAACTGCTGTTGGATCAACAGTACAAAGTATTTTAACCAGTTTTTTTAAAAAAGACATTGACAAAAACAGCAAAACAGCTTCTGATTTGCTGCTCTGTTATTGTGTGATTTTGGTTTTTAGACACTGAAGTCTGGACCTGAACCAACTAAGTCACACAATAACACAAAGTCATCAATTGAGGCAGCGATAAAAGTTAAAATCACGGTTTTTGTCAATGCAGTCTAGTGCAGGGGTCTCCAATCCTGGTCCTCGAGGGCAATAATCCAGCATGTTTTAGATGCTTCCCTCTTCCAACACACCTGATTCAAATGATCAGGATCGTTATCAGGCTTCTGCAGAGCTTGATGATGAGCTGATCATTTGAATCAGGTGTGTTGGAAGAAGGAAACATCTAAAACATGCAGGACTGTGGCCCTCCAGGACCAGGATTGCCCACCCCTGGTCTGGTGCCATTGAAGAGAGAACGCAGAAAGAGCCGTCTGACTGCAAGGTAAAGCCGTGGACATATTTTGTCGCATACGCCTCCATTGTTATGGTTTCAATGGGAAATCCTTGGACGCACATGTGGTGAAGTTTCAAATCAAAGACCTTGGTGTAGTAAACAACAATACAGATTACGGCGGGATGACAACTTCGAACTCTGTGATTGGTAACGACTTCTTTAGATTATAGACAGCTTTGTTTCGGGCCTCATTAGAGAAGCCAATGATTAACTTTGTGACCTGGGGGCCACCAGCAGCAGAGACCCACAGAACAAACAGCAGGAACAAAAACAACACAGGAGTTCTGTGACGGTCCAGTACCACGGCTCGCTTCTACCGTATAAACATGTTAAGTTTTTCACATCCAAGAACACACTGAGCCACAGCATTATTTAGAGGCTGTGTCAGAGCACACAGTTATTCAAGAGGAAAAAATCCCATGTAAGATCTGTGCTGTTTGAAGGAGCCTGTTTGTTTCTGAGAAGACGGCGTTTCCTGATAATAGGTGTGAATGTTGCCCTCGGAGCGCTGTGGCCTTGAACAATGATGCCACACACAGATGCAAACAGTGAGGGGGAGCACATTTGTTTTTTTGTTCTTCGCCAGAGTAGAATGCAAAACAAACTTCAGCGCATGACAAGTGACTGTGACCTTTAGCTCCTCTCGGTATCTCTACCCTGCCCACCGTGGGCTGGTGGAGACGCACAAACAAAACGCTCCACAGGTGAGATATCTTATCAGGCCACCGCCGGTAGATGACCTGAAGGGGATTTTTCACACAGTCCAGAGAAATTGCAGGATGGACCGTACGCCTGGTGGCTCATTTAACAGTAGAATTACTTTATCTTCCAAACAGCAAAGTCCTTTATGTTGGTCCTGCCCAGAGACAAACAAACTGAGACGAGAACATGATGTCTGAGAGTCACAATCAGACGAGTTTGTTTTGACTTGTAGAGCTCTAGACTCATATCACCTCTGCTGTAAAAGTGGAAAAATAAATACCCAGTACTTCCCAGTACTCCTTGGACACTACAAAGCCAATACACAAAGTATTAAAGGGGAACTCCACCAATTTTAAGTCTCCCTCCACTCAAAGACATGCTTTAGTCAACACAGGTGAGAAGTCATTTAAGGCAGATGGTGTTTCTGTAATAGTTAATACACCAGGATGGAGAAGCTTGAACCCAAATGATATGTTGAATGCTAAAATATAAATTATTATTGTTATGCATGAAGTTTCGTAAAGTAAAGCACATTATTATTTTTTGATTAAGATGTCAAATTATAGTTTTGCTTTTGCATTTTGTTTTTTTTGCATTTCCTCACATTCCTGAACAGAAAAAGTAGTTTTAGTGGTTGAATGTGATGCTTGATAGATAGATAGATAGATAGATAGATAGATAGATAGATAGATAGATAGATAGGCTAATCCCATACAGATGCTTAGAAACACCTGCTGATCTAACTGGATGATCATTAAATTAAATGTTAATATTCAACATGAAACATGTGATTCTGTAGTCATCATGTGATGCAGCCATATCAGTTTGCTGCTGAATGTAAACCAGCTGAACGTTTCCCTCTCAAACAAGACAAATAAATTCAAAACTTCAATACACAGTCAGATTATATTAAATTACTATAAAATAAAGATATATTGCAGATGATAAACTGTTGTCTTCTCTTGTGTGACGGCTGTTAAGCGCTTGAGACAGACCATCTGGGCCTCCTCACCAAAAGGCCAACAGAAAAAGTGCAAAATCAGACAAATAAAACACACGTCTGTAAATAATGTTTTTACAGAATGTCAGTGAACTTCAGAAGCTGCTGCTGTGTTTTCCACCTCAGAGACAGGTTCATTTAGGTGCCACTCTACAGTTGTATCCCTCTATAATTGAAGAGATTATTGAGCGCTAATCAATACTTGATAGCTTCCACAAAATCAGAACATTGACACTGACTCAAACGTATTTGGGTCAGTGCTTCTGGACGTCCTCACTGTGGATGATGCTGTACGAGTTTGACACTAGAAGACTGTTTTCAAAGTTTCTCCAAGCTCACATAAAAATCTAGTAAAACATGCGTAACCTGCAGACAGTCCTGATCGAACAGAACAGAAGCCTGATTTGAAAACTTAAAGCCTGCATTGACAGTGGACTCAGTGATGTAGGAAACATCTTTTGGTTGTGACACACTTTTGAAAGAACTCTTGAGATGTTGATCCTGGATTGTTCCAGTGAAGGAGGACGTGCATGGGTTTAAGAGTTTCTGAAACAGTTTATATGTGTGTTTGTGTATTTAAGGTCTGTTTAGAGGTGTTAAAGAGAACTACTGCGTATGTACTTAAAAAAAAAGGCTTCTGTGCAGCTGTGGAACCTGCTTCTGCATCAGTTTTATCTGAGTTTGACCGTGTTTAACGCTAAATCCTTGAAGTAATCCATTAATCTAAACCTTTGCGGTCTTTATTAAACTGACCCTGGGTGTAGAGACGCTGGTGTACAGTAACACTGCACACAGCTTCCCCGTACGTGCCCTGATGTGACACACAAACAGAAGAAGCAGCTGCACGTATCATCACTCTGCATACAGTGAGTTTCATTACTCGGGGTTTTTTTTTTTAGAACAGAGGTGCAATGACCCGCGCTTTATCGATCCACTGTTTGATGGAGATATTCTAATCTTAAGAAGAGATAAATGAAATTCAGCGAATATCCCGCCGAGCCAACGTGACTGGAATATTAATAGCAATAGCAAATAGTGAAGGCGATAAGGACGATGCAGCAGGACGGTGACCCTCTTTAGTGGCTATTATATGAAAATGTATTTGCAAAAAAAAAAACAGTCTGGACTTTGTGACTGAGATATTGTCAATATGTGACACAATCGGTGGTTTCCAGCAGAGAGATAAATGATCTGGAGATGATTATAAAGAAAAAACTAAACTCTGTTGCAAAAGTTTTGGAAGTTTTTTCTTTGATTTTTATGCAGAATTGAAGAAATTTAACACTTTTAGACTTATTGAAATAACAAGTGTTGAATTATCTCTTTTCCAAACCGCTCAGTTGAGTCGCTTTTTAAAAGTTTTTGTATTAAATGTCTCACAGCAAACAGTTCTGAACCATTTCACTTGTTCTGAAACATGCAGGAAGATGTAAGTGAACTCCTTAAAAGATGTGCATTTATGATTTAAAATACGGTCCATGTACAGTTTATTTTAACTCAGCTTGTCACTAACTTTATGTTTAAAGCAGAAAACAAGGTCATTTCACATTTTGTACTTTCTCTCGCCAGCAGAGTTATGAAATAAATCGTATACAGTCTGATATTTGTCTAACAGGTATTGCTGTAGTACTATAAAGTAGCCTAGTCAGGAGCTCAAAACTGTACCTAGTACAGTAGTTACATGCGACCTTGGAGGCACGGCAGGTCTACGGGGGGCAGGTGAGGTTCTGTGTTCTGGTTTTGGATGAAGTGCTGAGTCCACACGCTGGGGAGCTGAGAGACGGTTCAGAGGGTCAAAGTCAGTGTTGAAACTGAGATACTAAGGCACATGTCTGGACTGCAGCCATCTGTGCCACAGCAATACCGCGCTGTCAGCTAATGTAGTCAGAACTGCATGAACATTTTACATCATGAGCTTTTCATAGTGCCTACAGACTCCAGAATATGTTTGTGCACACGCATCCACGTTCAGATGTGAAGCAGAAACCGCCGATGCTTTGTGTTTCCAGTTGGTGAAGACGGCCGACTTGGATCCCAAACACAACTACGTCCTGGGCTTCCATCCTCACGGCATCCTGGTGGCAGGAGCCTTCACCAACTTCTGCTCCTATGCCACAGGCTTCAGGCAGCTGTTTCCAGGCCTCACCAGCTACATGCTCATGCTGCCGCTGTGGTTCAGAGCCCCGTTCTTCAGAGACTACATCATGTGTGCAGGTGCCCTTTTAAACGACGCTCCACCAGAACTGGCTCCGTATTTATTCTAACAAGTACTTCAACTCATTTGATGAATTATTTGACTTGTTTTATGTGACACTGTTGCAGGTCTGATACCGTCGGACAAAGAGAGCGCCACCTATCCGCTCTACAGCAAACGTGGAGGCAACGCTGTTGTAATAGCAGTCGGTGGGGCACCAGAGTCCCTTGATGCCCACCCAGGAACCTACAACGTACTCTTGGCTCATAAGAAAGGCTTCATCAAAATGGCCATGGAGCAGGGGTAAGAGCAGAGCCTGGGGCGCTGGGGAGAGCTAATTGTCTCTGAGCAACAAATCTTACTGCTCATTCAAGACGATGGCCTCCTCAAACAGAGGCTCATTCAAGTCACTTGCACAGAGTTTCCAGTCTGTTATGATGCGACACTGTTTTAAACTCAAGGACCCCATGACTGTTTGTGAATACGCGTGTGAACCGATAAACTGCTTTTTTCTTGTTTAAAACGGTTTTTAGAGCTCATCTGGTGCCGGTCTTCTCCTTTGGAGAGAATGAAGTGTTTGATCAGGTGGAAAACCCACGAGGAACCTGGCTCCGATGGACACAGGAACGGCTGCAAAGCATCATGGGTGTCGCCCTGCCTCTCTTCCACGCTCGTGGGGTTTTCCAGTACTCCTTTGGTCTGATGCCCTACAGAAAGCCCATCTCTACAGTCAGTGAGTGAACAGTTTCTCATCCATCACTACAGGAAGCAGCAGGGAGGCACAATGCTGGAGTTTATCGATAATTAATATGACAGTTTATTCAACTTGTTTTGGGCAAATGCTGATATCGATATGTATACATGTTTAGCTAACCGCTCAGAAGCACCGCCAACAGGAGGCCAAGTGGTTTACAGAAGCACACTCTGACCTCAAAGTGTGAACAGGAGCTGAAGTTTAGTCAGATGTTTGTAGGACGCTTTGCTCTGAGTTTATGAAAAACATACAAGATTAGAAACCAAAATTCAAGGATCTAAGGATTCAAGGCCTTTGTTAGTCACAAACACAGTTATACGCGCAGTGAAATGCTTTGTGCACCTGTTCCACACTGAAACAATATTAAAACGATGAATAAAGAATAAAACACACAAGAAATAAATATATACATGAGTATATATGAGGTAGAATAAATAAGGAAAATAATAATACTATATATACAAGGTGGAAAGCAGCTGGTTGGATTTATATCAGACTACAGTTTCTCAGCTCTCATATTGAGATTGTCTAGCCTATGTAGCGTAATATTATGAACTTTAGTGGCCCCATCATGCCACCCCCATGAACCACTTCTGAAGGCTCGCCTGCATCACGTCTCTCCTGTGGTTGAATTAATGTGTCATCATGCCTCTTGTTATCATCAGGGGGACGACCACTAGGACTTTATCAGGGCTGAAGAAGTCATTGTTGAAGTGGCTTTGTTGATTCAGGTTTTACATGTTTGAATAAAATAAACCAAATAGGAACACTTATTGTTGACAGACTCTTGTAACTAGATAGTTATCAGACAGAACAGCTGCATAAGAACCAGAGGAGTGCATTTTTAAATAACTTATTTTATCGGGAATTAGTTCAAAATATGAACAAAACCAAAAAAAGCAAACTTTCTGATCCAGTAACCTGCCAGACTGGTTACTTATTTAGCCCTACGTATCTTACTCACTGAGAAAAATAAGAAAACTACTTCAACAGACATTCTCTGCCTGTCAGTGGTCATTTCAGGCCAAAGCCTTTAACAGCTGATACTGATGAAAATGCTGACATTGCAGCTCCTTTTGCAGCAGGTTTGGGCTTCTGTGCAGCATCACGCTAAACACCTCCTGCAGTATATTAAAGGATGTCTTATCACTGCACTTCTGCTCATGTGTTTCCCAATAAGTTTGTGACTTTGGGAGAAGCAGCTCATGCTTCAGTGAGTACTAGCAGTCAGATAAAGAGCAGGACTTGATGTAATCACCGGTACTGGCACACGCTGCAGCTCTTGGCATGCAGCCCTAACGTATATCGCCACATTTCAGATAAGCTTCAGACATCAGGCCACACTGCAAACCAAAAAGTACATTAAACACTGACTGTGAGGGTGCTGCCCTGCACCTTGTCACCTCTCTGCAGTCGGACGGCCAATTAAGGTGGAGAAGAAGAAGAAGCCGACCGCCGAGGAACTCGATGCCCTCCACCAGCTGTACATGGACGAGCTCAGCAATCTGTTCGAGGAGCACAAAGGCGACTACGGCGTGGACAAAGACACACACCTGAACTTTGTCTGAACTGGACCAGGGATGGAAATCGAATGCCTATTTATTTGTTGAGCTCTGGTGCTGCTCTGTGAAGCTGCTCTCAATGGGCCTCTTGTGTGAAGCGAGTGCACCAGCACAGCCCGCTCTGTCTGTACACGGCAGATAGGATGCACTGTAGAATAAACGCTCCTGTTTCAACTGAAAAAAATGTGACTGAAGATATGCAATTTGCTCCAATATCACCTTTGTTTTTGTTTGGTTAAATTGAATTTGCTAATTTAGTGACCCGCTGAGCGATTTGTTTGAACCCACAAATCTGTTTGAGCTTAATTTAAATGGTCGATTGTGTAAATCTGTCAGTTGATTTAAATGGATCCATTTATTAAATACCTTCCAAATTAAACATCTGTTTTAACAAAACCAAAGTGGCCTGAAGTTTGTCTTGATTCACACTGAAGGAGAGATGATGAGTAAGCCGGTAAAGCTTTACTCTGCTGTGATGGATCCAGTGATGGTATCTGTGTGGGAGGGAAGGAGATACACAGCAGACATGGCAAATGATGGAATCAGATGATCAGTGGTTCCCAGAGAAAGTTCATATCTACAAGAATTCTGGGTAATCTTCGGAAGAATGCTTCAGAAACCATCCCGTGTGTGAGAGAGAGGGAGTAGGTATGGTAATGGATTAATCAGATGAAAGCAGTTGTTTGATAAACCGTAAAGCCACATAAATGTTGGCTCCCAAACACATGCTTTTTTGGGGTTTTTTTTATAAAAGAGCCAAAGTGTTTGTTCACCATTAATGATTAGTTTTTTTGGTCAGTTTCATCAAAAGGACCTTCCTGGGTTCCTTGGCACCAGGATGCACTCATGCTCGTTTGTCATCACTGTTATGTAAGCAGCCTGGACACCGCTGGTTTACTCTTTCTGCAGGGCGGGAATTTGACTTCTTTTGCATTTTGCAGATGTGGCTAATGGAAGGCATTGGGAGGCAACTTCTAAACCTCTCAGGCTGAGCAATGAGGGCCAATGCAGAAGTGGCAAACAGAAAAAAAATGCAGCTTCTCGAACTCCGAAGCTCTTCCATGTTAAAATGACCAACCTCACAGCGGAAATGAACGTGCTGACGGCCCGGAAATACAGCAACAGCGACTGTACAGGAGATGAATTTTTAGATAACTCTCTTGTTTAAATTGCAAAAGGCTTAAAGCTCCACTCAAGTTCCACCTGTTTGCTCATTTTTGGATCAGCTGGAAGTTAGCGGGAGTCATGTACTGCCAAGGTTGTCAAAGCTGGAGCCACTTCACCCCAACGTCCATCATATCAAGCCATCCATCATCTCTACACCTTAATCCTCACTAGGGTCATGGGGGGCTGGAGCCTATCCCAGCTGACTCAGGGTGAAGGCAGGTTCACCTGGACAGGTAACCAGTCTATCACAGGGCTACACTTAGAGACAGACAACCAAGCACACTCACATTCACACCTACGGACAATTTACAATCACCAATTAACCTCAGCATGTTTTTGGACTGTGGGAGGAAGCCGGAGAACCCGGAGAGAACCCACGCTGCAGAGGGGAGAACATGGAGACTCCACGCAGGAAGATCCCGGGTGTCCTCACCGGGACGCGAACCGGCGACCTTCTAGCTGCGAGGCAACGATGCTAACCACCGCTCCATCTTGCAGCCCCATATCTAGCCAGTGATCTTTAAATATGTACACATATCATGTCTGTTTACTAGTTTTTTAATCTGCATAGTGCAAACAGTGCATGCTGGGAAGTCTGCTAACATGACTGGACAATTAAGATAAATTAGCTTGAAAATAATAAAACTTGCATGTTTACATTCACTTAATAAGAGAGCATCAGTCTGTTCCACTAAATGAGAGAAACGCTGCTCACTGGGTCACACACTGATGTGTGTGTTCATGCTGATGCTTTTCCAGGATTTGTGTGTGAAACTGTCAGTTGCTGCATCTGATCTTGCATGTGGGGTTTTCAATTTTGTGCAAGGCCCGACACTTTCAGAAATAGAGTCATAGGTTGAAGTTGGGTTGCAACAGTTTATGGAAATGACAATTTGGGATTTGTTTTAACATACTGGTCCTCTTATGTAAGTAACAGATATGAAAACTTGTTCAGCAGGAGAGAACCGTCAGAGCTTCCAGGTCAAGAAACAGCAGCAAAATCCTGACTTTTAACACCTGGTTTCTGTATCTATTAAACAAACCAGACTGACGTGTTGATTGGTGACCCTGAAAGCTGCTACTAGGCAGATTTTTTTTTCAACCTTTGGATGGAACCAGGCGGGTTTGGCTAAAGGTTCAGTGTCTGGATGTGGATCATGTTCTGAATGATAAGACTGTCTGCGAACTTTGGCAGGACACCTTTTATATGAGATGGCAGAGTTCTGATATTTCCAAATATAATCGCCGGCGGATTGGACAATGCCCTGGTGCTTTCAACACAGTCTGGGCAAAATGTGTGTGTGTGTGTGTGTGTGTGTGTATTGCGATGATGAAAATGCTGACTACATGAACGCAAGACTATGATGCAAAAGAGAGAAATAATTGTGTAAATGTAGTTGGGAAGATAAAGTAGAAAAGTGGGCAGATGACCTTTTAATAGCTTAATCCATCTGAAACATCAAGCTGTGACTCATTTTAAGTTCATTCGGGTTAGAAATGTAAGTTGGCCTGCTTTGTTTAAAAGGTAAGTAAACTGCACTTCAGTTGATTAATTAGTTCATTAGTTAATTAGGTCATCGTTTGAGTTGTTGTAAAACTAGGAGAGTTAAGTTGCATGAACTTGAGACAATGAGTTCAATAAACTTTAGATATTGCATACTGCATAGACAGTTGTTACAGACAGACTTGTTTCCTTCCACATTTCCTAAGTTTATAGAGTTTCCTGATTAGTTAACACTGACAACTTACAGTCAGAGCTGTTCAGGCCATTTTCATATGGAGTCAGTACAAAGTCGACCTGTGAGGCTGCTACCAGCTACAGTGAGATAAATGATAAGTCTACCACGTGGAGGCTGAATTCAGTACCAACCTTTGTCATGGTTGGACTAATTGTGATTGTTAGGAAAAGAAACAGCAACAACTTAATTGAACAGCAAGTTTCCACTGTGTCTGTTTTCTCAAACTACAAAAAACAAGAGTCCCCAAAGAGATTTAACTGTTTCTGCTTCTATGCTGGTTTAGTCTTTTATAAACTTAATGACTTCATTCAACTCAT